TACTAGAAAAAAGAAAATTTCTCTGGTTAATCGATTGTCGTTATAACTGAATTCCACTGTATTTCATTATGTTAATATTATAATATGGGAAAACAAAAGCAAATATTCACTGTTCAAACAAGAATCAAATTTATAAATGTATGTTCAAAATACACATGCTGTCGTTTTGCTGGATTCAAATTCAGGCATTTGACTTCATAGACAATTTAATCTAAGTATATAAGTCAGTTATAAATTTAATAGATCGAGAAAAGGAGGTATATTATAAAAACTGATATAAATAGTATTATTTTGCATGAATAGCATAGTGAAAACAAACTAAATAATATTATTTACTTGTAGTTTTGTACATTTGAAATCCGTCATGGTCGTAAATATAATCTTATTGATCCTCTCTTCTGTAAACATATAGGATTTCTAACAGCAGGGTTTCTGATATTCTCGTGGTATTAATGATCAACCAACGCTTATAATTAAGTAGTATTGCTGGATGAAATTAAAACCTCTCTCGTTTACATAGTGCGTACAGATTAGCATAATATCACAAACACTCGCCAAAGTGAATTCCAGTCAATAATATAAAATAATATGTTCGGTCATTAGTGGTTTTGAAAAATAATCCCACTTCGAATATATAGTTATGAACAACACACAAAGCCTTACAGTTTTTCGCCATATTTATAAATTACTTATTTTTGTTTGAAAACGGTTCGTCATTTTTATTGTTGGTACGTTATGTCGACATTAATAGTTGTCTTGTAATATTATTTTACGCCGATAGAATAACTGGTATTAGTATAAAGTATTAGTATATACATTATACATACGTGTTGACAAACGCTATGAATAATGTATTTTAATAATAAGGTTTGACATCAATCGAAATATCCGGAACAAATGAAATAATTTTTCGTTTAAACGATATTTACTCATTCAAATATTGTTTGTTGTCACACATTCATTCAAACACTTATCGTGTCAATACATACTATGTTCGCGTCACTTGAAGTACCTATGTGTATTGTAAACCACACACCGTGCATAATACACATAATAATGTATTATGTCCTTGCTTTAAACAAACGTATTAACCTAATCATTCAAAATAGGTAACTATATAGTTAGAACCCTTGCCCATTATGCTATTATTGGTACAAAAGTTAACGGACACAGTCGAAGACTTACCGTAGCCAAACTGCGACGGCGACACATTTTACATCTGGAAATTTAAGGAAAACCACTGCAACCCTCCAGCCGGCTATGCTTGCTGGACGCCATGTATCGATTATAGGCGCGATATTTGATCGATTTAGACTTCGATTGTATAATAAGTTACATTGTGTACAAACTTGCAATGATGGGTACGTAATTTTGAAGAGATTAAGAGTATACCAGTGATAGAGTTAAATCATAATATTATAACTATTGTTACATACAATAATGTTTGTCATGCACATTGCACACAACTAAACAGACGGTTTTTCTGAGCTAAAACAACACGAATCCATCTTGCCACCAATACAAACTATGCGGTTATCGCCAACCAAACAAGGGCTGTGTACCAATTATAAAATTAAAGAATGAATCATTTGGCACGGTTGAGTACCGACGTGCCAGAGCTCAATCACAACGACAATAACTAAATGAGATGTGACAAAGGTGGACGACAGGTAACGACAAGTAACAAAAGACATCAAACGATACCATGCACTCTACGCGTATAGGAACCAATCACGGACGAAAATGAGCGACACCTATAAATACAGTCGTAGATCGTCTATTTAATCAGAAAACTTGCAACCATACAAGGAGAAACAACACAGAGAATCTAACAGGATCAAAGTATCTATATTCTATATATAGTATATAATATGTATGTATATTAACAATACCATTTAACATCAATCAAATTAACTGAAACAAACGAATTTGTTTTATTTTTAAAAATTACATTTTGTATATTTAACTCATTTAATCACTCAACAGTCAACTGACAGTCGTCACAAATTAATTTGGACGCTCATCGCATTAATACAACTAGTCCCTTATTGGTAAAGGACCAAGTTTGGGAGATGTAATGTTGATGTTTGTAATTTGCTGGTTTTGTGTGAAATCAACCGTTATATTGTGTAGTTTTTGAACTGCTCTTTTATGTGTTTAAATTAAGGTTAAAATACATTATTTAATTATTCTTTAATAATAGCTGAAATGTTCACAGTAACTGAATGTTGACAGGGTTGTTTCGTCCCAGATTTAGTTGTCGTACGTCCATATTGGAGCTATAGAATAGTTTTAATGATTAACATTTTATTTTTGATGCTTAATATTTGGACTTTAAAATTAAGTGGATAATACGTATTGACGAATTCCATAAATTATAATATTATACTTGTGGTTGTATATGGTACGATCGCAATAATGATATTATTATCTATTCTACTATATTATCGTGAAAACAGGCAATTTTAATTTTGTTTTCATAGTAAATATTGTCATAGTTAGTACTAGACTATTAGTCTACTTCACAATATTTCCATTGTTACTGAATATTTTTCTGTTAGTATTTTAAAGAAAAAAACAAGTAATGTCATTTTCTGTAGTATATGAGTATAATATTATGTATATTGTGCAGTATATGTCAAGTATAAATCGTAAGTGGATCTACTGAATTAGAAATGAACAATAAATCACTGTAGGTATCTATTGTGTGTCTGTAAATCTACAATGAATAACGATTCTCGGTGAGACATTGTGTCAGCCTATATTTCTAAGGATATTTTATTGTACATTAATAATATTGTTAGGTATTAGAATTCATTTTTCAATTTACTATAGGGTAGGTTCATCTAATTTTTGCCAAAAAAAAAAATCGTTATATAATCATATTATCAATTATTTTGATACCATTGATATTATATTGATATAATATGATTTTATTTAATATTTATATTATTTATATTTACTTTAAAATCAATACAGACGTAGGATAATAAATATTTGTCGGAAAACATAGAAATATAGAATATATTGTATTACTTATATTATAATGATATAATATATGATTGTGTGAATATTGTATAATTAGTCTGAGTTTAAAAATGTAGCTTCAAATGTATCTAAATTCTACATATGTAAAAAATATTATTGCTTATATTATGAAAATGTTCAAATCCTGACATACTAAGAATAATATGTTTTCAATTATAAAAAAATAACTATACAATTAATATGCCGGGTTTAAATATCTACGATACCCAAATCATCTGTGATGATACCCTAATAGTCTCCATGTCAACATTATATAACCTAAAAATGTAGAATACAATAACTTAAGTAATAGTGGAATGTTTCTATGTTCTACTGTTAATATTTTTTGCATTAGGTGCACCAAAATAAACAAAGTCGTATAGAAGGAATTTTTATCTAAAGTTTGATTACCTAATTTCTTCTAACATCAAGCGCTTATAAAAATAATGTGATTTCATGCTTAACTTTTAAGTCAAGTTTAAGGTCAACTTCTGAAGAATCTTGGATTATATTTTAAAGCGTTGGTTATAAAAAAATTAAATTTTTCATGAATTGTTTACCACAAAACAATATTTAAAAATTTGAGTAGTTTTGACAATTTTCATCAAAATTCTTATTTTAAATGGAATTTAAAGACTGAATTCTTGTACAATTTCAACTTTGTATTGCATGTTTTAGATCCTACAGAAAAATTTTAAAAATCCGAATCAAGCAAAGCTTATTCATTTAGGAAATAGTGTTATTAATATTGATCATTATCTTTAGAATTTAATATAATACAATTCAATAAGAATAATGAATGCATATGTGACCAACATATTATATGAACAATAAACGGCAGTGGCAAATTAGATTACAATTAAGATAATATGCTTTAAAAATATATATTTTAGTATTAAATAATTAAAAGCCATGGTTATAATACTTTAGGTACGGACGTTTAAAACATTTTTTTTTTAAATTCCAAACACCAAAAATATAATTTCGCATGTATTTTTTAACATTTTGAATTTTTTATTAGATATATACAGCACTTAGATAGTTAAATCCAAACTTTAATTTTAATATTACGAGTTTTATAACGTAACGAATAATAGTAATTACTATAAGTACCTAATCTTAGTATTTAAACATACTGATTTATAGATTTTACTGCCTGTACCTATTTCATATCAGATAATCTACGCATATTAATAATTGTATAGGCTTACCTATGTATAGTATAATGGATTATATATTTTTTATTGTTATTTGTTGTTCGGGAAGATAACGAGCCCGACTGAACATGTTCATGTTGGATTATTAAAATTGGTTAATCCTATAAGTATATCAAATAATATTTTAGTCAAAATGTGTACATATATTACATACATTACATAATACATAATAATTGTTTTTGTAATTATTTGAATCAAACAATTGTTGTAGACCTTACGACTAAATAGTAATTAATATTAAAATCTTATATTGTTCTAACAATGTATATCAAAATTTAAAAATATTTTACCTCATGAAGCCAATCATAACATCGAAAAACCACTGTTTTTTTTTAGATACCTATACTACAGGCAGTAATTAGTAATAATTATCAATATAATAATTCACTAATTCAAATATTATTTGTATGGACCAGCGCGTATCTAAGTAAGTATGGTAAAAGAGTATGATAAATATATATGTTCTATTAAATAACTCTTTACTCTGGATAAAATTGTTTATCATTAAAATTTTTGAAAAATTTGCAAAGAGGGAATTCGTGTAGCCAAGACTTTTATATTTTAATATTAAGAGGGATAACACAGAGATTTCGATTCGATGATTGATTGTATGGATATTATTAAACATTCTATTTAGTTTCTATTACATTATTGTTAGTAAAAACGATGCAGTTTAAATATTTTTAATTATTTTTTTTGTATAATTATATCTATTAAACATTTACAACACATAAATGTAATTGATTATACAAAACGCATTATAATAAAATATATATTGTAGTAAAAATGTTGTATCTAAGAATAACTTAACCATAGTATGCACACAAACACATTTTTAAAATAAATAATTCTACAACATACATATTAATATTTTTAAAAAAATGTACAAAGAATGAAACATAAATATTTTAAAACATTATATTAGTTTTACAGTATGCATAGTAGTCGTATAATTCATATGATAAAATAAAATAAGTTTCAATAAAGAAAATGATTTTAAAAAAAAAACAATAATAATTGTATCAATCAACTGATTAAGTGTTATTTAGTTTCGTAAATTAAGAACATGACATGTACGTATTATTAATTTATTTTAACAATAGTATATAGTATATTAATATGAGACCATAAAAATTAACAACCCTCGACAAAAATATACGAATAATATTATTACGAAAAGTAATAACACTCCTCGTCCATCAAAATAGCCTACATAGTAACAATTAATAAATTGCGTGATCGTGAAATTATCACTAAAATGTTGTCATGGACCTAAAACAATACATTTCCTCTGGTTAAACAAATTTTATTGCATTAAATGATAAAATAGAAATAAAAAATACATATTTTCTAGTAGGTTAGGAACCAAAAAAAAAAAAAAAAACAGGATTTAAACTTAGAGTGGCCATGTATATCTATTTACTTTTTAAATGTTTTTTAAACGATTTATATAACATACTTAAAGACACTTGAAAAAATTCTAGATAAATGATAACTATTTATTATAAGTGAAGTTATAACATATCTACTTATAATTATTTCTAGTGTCTTTATTTTATTTAATGAATTCTATAATAGATTGTAATGTTTTTCAACTATTAACAATATAAGACAAAAACAATGTATAATAATGACAGAAACGGGATCGGAGCTGATGTAATTTTGAACAACATTGAATTCATGTGCAAGCCCTCCAGCTCCTACTCAGCTTTTACAACAGAATCAATTGCCATAGTAAAAGCTCTCGAGCTAATAACTGGTAACCACCTCCGAGGCACTATCATCTTCACTGACTCCCTCGGCGCCAGCAATAATATTAAAAATACAAATAACCCTTCAGACATTGGCCTGCATATTCAAAACAAAATATACAAGCTACATAACATCAATAACCACAAAATCAAACTCCTTTGGATTCTGGGCCACTCTAACATCGTATAAAAAGAGCTCGCTGATCTCGCAGCCAAACCGCAATCACCTCTCCACTATCATCGTTCACACAAATCACTTCATTCAGAGGCATACAAATGCTAATAGCAAATAAATGCCAAATAAGATGGCACTAGAAATGGACATCCTACTCCACTAAACTGAATCACATAAACAAAAAAATTGGACATTATCTATCAAAATACCCAGAAAATTTGAAATTATCTTAACAAGAATCAGAACCGAACACTATCAAATCTATCACAATTTCTTAATGACCAAAGGAGAACCTCCAATATGCACAGCCTGCAGTGAACAAGTCACCTTTAATCACATTTTCACTGCCTTTCAAATATATCACAACATCAGAACAAGTCACAACCTGTCCGAATCACTAGCCGAAGTAGGTACTCTACAACCACCCTCAATTTATAGCCAAGAAAATTGCCCATGGTGTAAGGGTCTTGTATCAAAAAAAAAAATTAATAAATAAATAATTTAATAATGACAGAAGTGAAAATAACACGTGTAAAGGTAATACAGTTAAATTTTTAACCTTTCTAAAATATAAAATTAAAAATTGTCTTTATCGTATGTTACAAAAAAAAATGTTTTAAAAACCTTTTAAAAATATATAGATCTGGCCATTCTAAGTCTACAGTTATAGTTGTACTTTAACAGTTAAACTGTATACAAATTTAATTTTACGAGTATTGAGTAGATTAACTATGGCGGAGTAGCGACGTAGCCAAATAGGTAATGATAATAACTAATAAGTATAATGATAAGTTATGTTCCTAACATTGACTTGAATATAATTAGGTCTTATTTAACTTTAAATTATTTGGTTTTTACTTTTTATTATATTTATGGAAATCACTTGGGTAAATAATTTAACTAATAATTTTTCAAGAGTAAAGTTCTAATTAACTCAAATAATTTTTTTAAAAAATGGTAAAATAGATAACCGTTCTGCTGTACTGAATGTGCAAGTGTACATTGTCACTGTAATGACAATTACATTTTTCAATTTGAATTCAATCAAATTTTCAAGCATTAAATAAAAAAATTAATTAATTGCGAACTGTAATTTTCAGAACATCTTCGAAATATTGACGAAAAAAAGTCCTGTTTATTTTTAATGTTTTTCCCAATTATTACGAAGAGTACTAGGAGTTTTACTTTTTACCCCCACTTCTCTCGCAAATTACAAACTACATTCAGTTTTCTAACAGGAATGATATTGAAGTTGAAAATTGAAATATTTTTGTCTACTATAAAAAATAATTTAATACAAATTAAATAAAAACATACATCGTTCAATCTTGTATAGTTAATATATCGCTTCACTCATTAATGATTTAGGTACTTATTATAATATAAAAACACTGACGAATTATTTAAAATACATTCTTCTTTTTATTCATCGAGTTTTAATAAAAACAAACATTGTTTTACTCACTTTATTGGCATGCTGCAATTATAATACTCAGTACTGAAGTTAAACTGGATTTCCACAAGTCTAATAATTCTGGTTCACTATTTCCGATTGCTTCTGATATCATAGCAACCAACACATCTCCAATAACCTTAAACATTTATAGTACAAACAATAAATATTTTACACCATAATAGGTATTTAGCTTAATATTCAACATTTTTGATGTCAAACTCGATTTTATTCAGATATAATATCGATATTGAATTATTGACAAAGATCGAAAAAAATATTCAACTCATTATATTACACATAATATACTATTTCATCCTTCAAAAATCAAACATTAATATCATTATATACCAAGGGTGGCCAATTTGCGGCTATCGTCTTATTTACAAAAAGCAATAGTTTTAATTTTTTTTGGTAAAAATGTATGTAAAAAAATATTTTTATTATATAGGTATAAAGCTAAAAATAATACGGATTAATAAACAAAAATATATAGTAAATTAATATAAATAATACATTCAAAAAATAACCTAACTAAATTTGTTTGAGTGGTATTTTGTTCGTGTCTAATTTTTTAATAAGCTTTTAAGATCTGGTTGTAGGAGCAGATGACTTAATTATTTTTATTGTTGAATAAAGAGATTCACTTGAATATTTCGTTCCGAAAATTCATATCTATTTCACAGCACAGTTTTTAAAATTTGGGTATTATAAAATAGAACATGCTTCCAAAATTCCAATATAGAAGGGCATTATAAACTGTTTAAGACCTTCATCTTCTAATAACTCCAAGAGTCCTATTTTGAGATCCGCTTTATTTGCGACAATAGGATGTGATATTGTACATCCGTTTTCAATGACATTAACTACAAATGAATTTTCCAAAAGCTCTCTGAAAGCTCGTAATCTAATCAAAACAAAATAATATTGAACTAATTCCTATTTTATATGTTTACTGGCTATTAGTTATCTTTATTACTTCTGTGTTATAAAAGTACTGATTAAATCAAATTATATAAAATGTATTTACAAATATTTTGGTTCTTGATATCATAGTATTTATATATATGGCTCGCTAATTTAAAATATGAAAGCTTGTATTCATTCACATGTAAAAATTCGAACACCTACAAATAACAATTACTCTCAATTATCAAAATAAGGTTATTTTAAATATTTAATTATTATTTACAAAACATTTAAATATAAAAATTAAATAAATCCAACCAATATAATTATTGTATTGTTTAAACTTAAAATTAGGTAGGTACTATGTTACAACATACTTGTGAATAATAAATTTGTTTTACTCATATATCATCGATACTAGGTGCTAGACGATACTACATTGCAAATGATTCTACCTCTTATATAATTTAAACTTTGTTCAATTTGTTGTTGTTAAGTTTATTATTCAGAAACTGAATTTTTGTTTGTACGTAAATAATAATTTACTGATATAGTTTTGTTCGCTATACCCAAAGGCAACCATACAAAAAAATATTCGATTTCTCTTTGCTGAAACAAAATCCATGTGTGCTTTAAAGATGTCCTTAAAATGCAAATTTTTAAAAACCCTTTCTCGGCATGCACTTACATTATGAAACGAAGATACTGTCAAAATTCCAAATCTCTACTTTTTATAGTTTAGACTTTATTCAATGATTATTCTCTGTCAGTCTGTCAGTCAGAACAAATCCACTTATATGTATAAAGATTTAATTTAATAAGTATTGTTATAATATGATACATGTGTAACATATTTATTAAATTGGAAAAAAAAATGTACCTTATTCCTTTTAAAACGACCTATACAAATATTAACACTGTTGTAATAATATATATTTCTCGTCTATATTACCTATTGGTGTTAGTTTATAAGCAAGTAACACAATACGAACAAATAAAACACAAGTATTTCAACTTATGATTTTATGGATTACATTATTATTTATTACTTTGTATAATATCAGTGCAGTATATGTTTGGAAATTATTTATTATTTATATGTGAATAAAGTGCAAGTAGCTTCAATTAGATATTTCGTGGAATAAAAAATACGATACCACAGTATTATTTATTTATTAGATTGTGATCAAGGAACAGTCATTATAAAAAATACATACTTATTCGCAATAATCATGCTATTGTTTAGGTTAATAATGCAAATGTTATAAATTAACAATAACATCATTTGCGTTAAATAAAACAAAAAAGTTATAGTATAAAATTAAATAGGTTCAATTGAAATAAAAATACTAATGACTGTGAAATGTATCATAAATAATTTGAACAAATAACTAATATTTAATTTTTAAATTGTTTAATATCATTCATTATTACTTTGTCAATCAATTTATAATATACTAGACGGATTTTGGTACTAAACCTTCATTATAGTTGTGGTGAAAACATTTTATTTTTCAATTAATTTTTTTATGGGTTTTGTGGTTTGTAGGAATGCAACTAAATATTTAACAGTGAATAAACGGTAGATATAACATGACACTATAAATTATAATACATTAAACAAACTTCTACGTAAAAAAATAAAACTCTAATCTCCCTTTAATAACAATTATGCATAGTATCATTATATAGGTATCATAATTTCTTGTGTATATGAAGTTTATTATAAATCTTATTATCTATATAAAATAGGCAATTATATTTATATAATTGTTATAATATTTAAGTTTTTCAGCTAAATATATTTTTTCCATGATTGTATTTGATTATTTTATGATTTTAAATAAACTATAAAATATGTTTTGTTAGACTTTATAACTAATATGTTAGTAATAAATATGCACTCACCTGAAAATGTTTCGCTGTGAGTCCGTATTTTTTATGTTTAATTCCAAGATTTGTTAGTATTTTTTCTAATTCTTCAGGTTTGTCAAGGTGATCGATAGTCAACCCCAATGCAGCTCCTACCTTCGATGCATGTGACATAAACTGGGGATTAGAAGCAAGTTCGTCTATTGATAAGTTCTTAAGCCGCTTGAATAATGATTGATACTCAGGATTTTCTTTGAACAACCTTATGGTAATAAATATTATTAAGAAATCAATTTAATGCCGAGAAACATGTACTATCAAAAGTAATTTATACTTTGCATACTAAATGAAATAGAAAAATATTTTATTGCCCGCACAATTCTTATAATGGAAGGGTTATCGTAGTAAAAAATTTAACAAATATAGATGAAAGAAATATATTTTAGTTAATATATTGTTTTTTTTATTATTATCTATTATTTTTAATGTTTTATGTGAGGAATACAACGTTATAAGAGTAATAATTCCAAAGTAAAATGTAATGTATGGTACCGTGATTTATAACCTCGACTTGTCATGTTTAATGTTATTGTGTCAATCAAACGCTGGAAGTCATTTCAACAGTTAAAATCCCAAGACATGAACCAATTATTTAAAGTGATGAAATTAATAAGCTTAATAATACTAAAATGGTTATGATATGAATACTAGATTCATTTTGAAAATGGATTTCATGAGATTAATTAAACTATTAACGAATGTATGACAATTATTTATTTAAAAGCTATATTGGTGTGTATAAAATTATCGATTTTAATAGGGCATTTTTAGTAACCTATTAATGACATGCTGATTACTAAGATATTAATTATATTAAATAGAATGATTTTCAAACAGTAACTTGTTTTTGTGTACCTATACATTCCCTCAAAAGTTCGTGGTTTTATATTAAAATTAATTTTTATTGATGAACATTTGAAACACATTTTATCAAGAGTGGTTTTATATTTGATTCGCATATCATTTACTCGTCGATTCGTTATTTCGTCTCACAAGAATAACATATTGAACTCAAAATCGCAGGAAATTCAAATAGGTGGATTAAATTTTTTTTAATGGGCCATAAACAGATCTATGATGAGTAAAGAAATATTATATTTGAATGTATGTGTAAATAGGTACCTGATTACCAATGCTGACGCCAACTGGCTCGGATCCTGTGCAAGCACTGACCATGAATCTTTTAGTTGCGAAATTTGAAGAGGACTCAATGAACTTGCCATTTTAGTTTCAAGTGTGCAATAACCCTAGCAACCGTTAGCGAAAGTCGACGAAACGTAAATGCGTAACGTTTCGAGACAGACTGAAACAGTTGTATGAACTGTACCTACTCTTATAAGAATCCACTACACACTGTACACGCACACACGCACAATCATCCACACACTACGCACACAAACGCACGCACACACGCACGCACACACAACACACACACATATACACACACACACACACACACACACACACACACACACACACACACACACACACACACACACACACAAATTACGTCATATATGTTTGAACACTTGTAAACACGTCTAATACTTATTAGATAAGGCGCGTTAAATTATCAGCCAAAATACATTTCAATCATATGTAGAAGCACTGATATCGCGTGTATATTATGCACTGCTTAGGAGTTTCATTTGTATAGTTACGCTGTGGCTTATTATTAAAATTCATAGTGGGCTTAATTGGAACTGAATAAAAAAAATCAATCGACACTGCTAACCAGTGAATGCAAGGGAGCCGAAGAATAGGCCATTGTATACGCGTATACGCATCCGAGCCGAGTATATAGTGTGTAACAAATCGGAAAGATTCAATCATCTAACAGTGGTGAATGTTCTATTATATTGTACTTACCATAAAATGGGGTCTCTCCAGACAGATTTGAACTATTTTAAATATTAATCTTAGTAGGTACCTATGTATTGTTTCTAAAATAATGAAAAAAATATACCGTTTTCTTTAAGTAAGTCGAAATCATACAGCAGAATAATAATCAAAAGTTCAACAAGTTCCCAATTTTTTCAAAAGTTTAATTTTGTCCGAAGTGATCAGTAAAAAAGTGTAACTTCGGGGCACGTATTGGTTTTTGTTAAAACCGATGTTATAATTGATTACAATGGTTGACTTCGTTCACTATGGATATTTATTTCAAACAATGGAATAAATATAAATAAAAACATTTTTTCATTTCTTTCAATTACATATATTATTATTATTATTATTATTATTATTATTTTTATTTGTATAACATAATTTATTTAAACAACTACGTATTTTTTGAGATAAGTTACTATATATAATATTATACTTTTTAATTCTTGATATCCAAACGCTTAAAAACGAAATATTGACATGATACAACTTGAACAGCATCAACTGAATTTTCAATAAAGTCAAAATTATAATTTTACCTAGGAGGGACATAGTAATTTCATTTACCGGAGTCTCCCCAAGTTTTGTAATAATTTGGAAAAATTAACACTTCAATGTGAAATTTAATCATTTAAATATTATGTACTTAGTAATATTAGGTAAGTACTCATTTTCGAGATATTCTGGATTGGATTCCAGTAAATTTCCTTTATCATGGGCCTGTCTTATATTTACTGATAATGGTGGACAATATTTACAAATTTCAGTTCTTTTTCATATTAATTAAATAAATATTAAAACCCAATTTTATTTTCATTTTGTATCCAAAAATTGAATTTAATAAAATCGTTTATTTGCTTATTAAAAATAAAATAATATATACCTAAATATAAAATAATTTATCCAATTAAATTTCAAATTAATAAAAGTGAAGAAAAGTAATTTTATCAAAGTTTCTATGAATATCTAATGGATTAGGTCCTATGATAATTATGTAAAAATAATAAATGAATAAAAGTGAATAAAATAATAATAATTGGTTAAAGAAAACAGATTTAAAAAAACCGTGTTAATGTTGCATACTTAATGGGAACCGATTTTTGAATACGTGATTCACAAGCATGGTCTTCATAGAGTTGACCTTTCTTAACTGACACAACAGTATCTTCAGATTTCAACATTTCTTGAAATTTGGCAAATTTCTGAGCGTAGTTCACACATTTCTGCATATTATGGTCGTCCATGTATTTCAAGACATCAACATCGCAATCACCTACTTCTGAAAAATTAATGTTACATACAATTATAAATAATAATTTTGTATTATTTTATTTAATCGAAGACAGATTGTTTTTATATGGATATGTTTTTGTTTTGTGTGTCTGTATACGCTATACACGACAAATAGCATACAAATTTTTTGATTTTAAACTTTTAGGGTGGTTTTTGACAGCAAATTGTTTGTCTAGTTGGTTTCTAATCTAACCAAAGTCATTTCTAATTTAAACTTTAATTAGAATAATTTTTTTCCTGGATTGTAATATTTATATTCGTTGAAAATATTGTAAATTGTTAGCTATTCATTTCTATGAACTATATAGCTTAAAAAAATATATATCTCAAATTCTCAATTACATTCAACTATTAACAAACTTTTTTTTTAAATAGGTTTTGACCAATAAATTGGACGAACTCATACATCCTAATCCATGTTGTACATCTCTAGAACTATTTATGTATATTCTAGTTGAGAGATAAAAATAATAGGCAGTAAACTGTGCTGCAACGTGAACTCGTTGACGCAATGGGTGTACAATCTCTGGTCGTCGCTCAGCAGTTACGTGCATAGCTACCGTTGTACCACCTTTCCCACTTTCTATTTGTTTTGTTTATTGATGGTTTGAATAATGCTTTTGAGCATGGACACTTTTTGAAAGACTTTTAACAGAGTACACATACTGCTGAAGTGCCGACATAGTATAAGGATTAAGGAATAATGACTAATGAGACAGCACATGTTCTGTAAATAGGAAAATAAATAGTTACTAAATACCTACCAAACACAGAATAGGTGAAATTTTATCTATTCTGTGTACTAACTACTTTAATTCAAGAGTTACTCGCCATTACACCAACGCCATGGACGAATCTATATCTATGCTATAATATTAAAAAGAGTTGAAATTGTAGGTTTGTTTGTATTAGATACCTACACTCAAAAACTGTACTTAACATATTTTAAAAATCCTTTCACCCATACACAGCTTAAGACTGTAAAAGTTACATAGGCTATATTTTATATAAACAAAATTATAGATTCTAATGAAAATAAAAAGAATACAGGGATTTGAAATTTAGCTCATGAAAAAAATAAAATATAATTTTGTTTATAATAGGGTTGCTATTGGTTACAGAAAATAAAATAGTTATTATGATTCAATATTATTTTAGACCTGTATTTTATACTAGGTATAAAATCCATCAAAGTCAGTGACGTAGCCAGGGGGGAGGCTGAGGGGGCCGCAGCCCCCCCCGAAATGTTAATACAATTTAAAAATTATTTTAATGGTCTATGGCATTCGATCAAAAACTAAACCACCGCTGTGTAAAAAATTGATCAGCCCCTCCCCTGAAAAAAAATCCTGGCTACGCCACTGATCAAAGTGACTATGTTCCAAATCTTTAATGTATATAAAGATTGGATAAATCAACCAGCATTAATTAACGGTAAACTTTTTATTCAAAAAAATCATAATGGTTGAATATAATTTAAAACTATTTAAACAACATAAAAACAATGACAAAAAACATTTATAGATTTAAAAAAGTCAGAGATATACCTAGCATTTATATTAAAGCTATCAAAGGTATTTTAAAATGTATGTTTTAAAAAAAAACTTATGACTTAATCTTAAAGTTTACGTATTAGGGAATAGGGTATTAGGGCAATGGCAATCTTAACAAATATTAAACCCAGTATAAAGTACAAATAAATGTGCAATGTTGTGATTAATGTGTTAAAAATCATATAAAAATCAAAGCTAAAATTAAATCTTTTTCTTTAAGTTTTGAACATCACTATACCGGGTATTAGGTAAAGAATTTAACACAAAGTTTGAACCATATAATAGTGGTGTCATTTTTTACGAGTAACGAAATGCACGTGAGACAGCTATCTTCTATATATAACATAAAATATATGCGCTTACGTACATACCTCAAGGGGTCTAACGTGGTATAACTTTGAAACTTTAGAGTTAAAAAGTGAGTAAGTGGATGTCACTCTGCTGTACAGTAAGTTACAAGTGGGTCACTGTAATGGATGGTGTTAAACTTGAATTCAATGATATAAAATCATTGTACACATAAAAAGATTCTGAGAGAAGACGGTCTGTCAGCCTATAATATTACCTACCATATATTTGTTGGTATTATTATGATTGAACTCATTTATTTTACTATGGGGCATTAGTATTACAGTAGGTTAAATACATTTGAAAAATTAATATGTGTATAAAATCTAATAATTTACTCTAAAAGTTTCAAGTTCCCATGAATAATATTTTTAAATTTCAACAAAATAACTAAAACCGTTACCCTTGATTTAAATATGCAATTACGTGAAAAATTTAAATATAAATTAAGTAACTGTAAAAAAAACTGTGTTAACATATTTTTTAATTTTTTTTTAACTGAATTAACTACTTATCTACAATCTTATTTCAAACTTTCAATCCCTAGCTATAAAAGTTGACAATTTTACAAAAGGAAGTTGAAAATTGAAGTATTATTTCGACTACTTATTATGTACAAAAAAACACACAAACACACACACACCCACTCGCACATCATTGTAAAATCAATGCGTTCATCGCTCCACTCAGAATCTAATATTATACACTTACGTATGCACCTGGTGGGATCTAAAAAATATAATAGTAATAGTACCTGACAATAAATTATATTGGTCTCATAATGACAATCTAGTCTCGCGTGCAAGCCAGGCAGGATGGCTATAATAAAATATAATCGAACGTGTCCTGACTAACACACTGACTGATCGACGTAGAGCCTAAACAACGATAACTTGAGGCTTGCAATTTTGCCCAGTACCTTCGTACCACCATGTAAGGATGCACAAATAAAGAATTTTAAGTGATACTTGCAGAAGTACCTAATTTGAGATTCAAGATGGTCGATGAAAATTAGAAACGAAATGTACGGGGTCTGCTAGTATTATATAAAATTGTGCATGTGCACGACGGACGACCAATCATGTTCAATTTAGTATTTACCACACGATCAGTGTAAACCCCATAAAAAATATTTACAATCTCTTTAGGAATATTATGGTCACACTGATAGCCTAAATTTTAGACACAGATCACAGAAATGTAAAAAATAAAAAAAGCGAGTCATTAAGAAATAAGAGCTACTCCCATGTGTTGTTTCTATCTTTCAAACGCATAACATAATAAATTGTGAGCAAAGTGGACCAGTTGCCGTAAATGAAATGTACCGATTTCCCTCAAAAATTATGAACACGATTATAATATCAATTACCAACCCTTCAAATTGGAGAGGTAAACATTTAAATAAATGAAAATAAAATAAAAATGCATATTATAATGAAAGAATAAATATAATGTTTACAATTAAAAGCGACGTACAATGTAATTTGTCAAAAAAATAGTAAACCACTTAGATATAATATTTGATATGTTTAAATTTTTTACTACTATTTTATACGTGGACACAGACATGAATAATTATTTCATAACATATTATTAAGTCCTTGCACTAAAAATATAAATTACGGTTATCCGCGAACCTACCACCCGACCGCACTCCACCGACCAGTCTTGTCCGACCAACGGTGCCGACGTGCCGTACCGTCATACCTCATACATTGTGTGACAACCTATGTAATATCATACATACTCAAACACCTACAACACATTGTTGAGCTATGTTTGTGCCTCATGTCATCAACATCAACATAATCCCGGAGCATGGTCCACCATATTCGTCATCCGATGGTTTTGTGAGTTGGCTGTCAGCCACGTGTGTATTATTTTCCATAGTGTATTATTATTTATACCTATATTATCTTCCTTTACTGGTCGAGACCACCCAAAATATGTGTACGATATATCTTTGATTCGTATGCAATAGAGTTAATACGAATAGTTCAGAATATATATCTTGAACTTACTACTTAGTCACACCCTTGATAGGTGAATTCACTCTAATAGCAAAACAAACTGAACACACACTACTGAAATCTGTGAACGATAATTCGCTAAGTCATACTTTGTGAACAGACACATCCGATACAACAAACGCTTGTGTAGCATCCAGACATTATCATCCTAGATATTTTTTATTCATCGACATTTGGAAACAATTAAATCTTAAAATCTGTTGATTTACTACACGTAAACCTATATTTACAAACATTTGTATTACGTTATTATTACACTAATAACATAATTTAAAATAAAATTAATAATATCATGTCATTTAGTCCTTAAAATATTAATTAATAGTGGTGCATTTTCGATGAACACATTGGATGGTATCACTTTTCGGAGGTAATATTAGAGGGTTCACTGAATGTTTTTTCCTCAGCAAACAGATCAACAAAATAATTATTGTTGGAACAAGTAATAACGGAAGTCGGTAACGTGTGTTGCTCTCTACCGAATAATGTTGGCATGTGTGTACGACTGTTATATTTTTATAGTGAGGTATTGAGGTATAGTTGTAATTTTATCCACTAGAGTGTGTATAAGTTATGGTTTTTAGTAATTATTTACATAATATTAAGTGTTATTTTTTTCTTGTCTTGCCGAGTGAGTAACTGAACGGCGACCGCCATCATGATTGAACTTTTCAACGAGTACGCAAATCGTCCGTTTACTTTTGTCAGTAGATAGCGCTGCCGTTATTGATTTTGTATTTTTAATCAAATTTTCGGATTTCGAGTAAACGACTCGGTGTTCGAGTCCAAGGGTTAAAGTGGCGAGAGCATGCAAGTAGACTCAGTCTCTTTACTCCAATATTTATTTTTCACAATGTCACCTTCTACAATATTTATATATCTTATGGTAATGTTCCTTCAGTGGAAAAGTAAGTTATTTCATTATTTTATTCTGACATACCTCTCCAAGAGACGACATGCAAATTTAGACATTCCAGTTTGAATTTTTTTGGCATGCAATTTGGATGCACCACTCTAATTCCCACCAGCAATTATTCAAAAGGTACGATAATGAGCAGTATGTAAATCTGAACATTTTTTATAAAAAAAATAGTAGTGGCTCGGGAACCCATTAGGTACCAGGCGATAATAGAGGGACGCGGCTCGTTTCGACCAGTTATCCGTTTCGTCCAAAGCCATTTTAGTCTTTTTCAAATTAAGTTGGCAATGATTTTTAAATAAAACAATATACATATATTATTATTATTAACTATTTAAAAAAAAAGCATTACACAACAAAAACTATATTATTTTTATTAAAATGTTTGTAAAAAGTCATAGCAAAAGCTTTAAAAAATACATGTTCAAGTAAACATTACTACAGTTATAATACAAATGACAAACTAATATTGTCTACTCAAAACTATTTTAAAATAACAGGTTAAAAAATATGGTTTAGCAACTGAATACAAAATAATACGAGTATCGGTAATTTGATTCAACATACTTTTGGCCTAATATTTTTAGAACCCACTGAAGTATCCGATTGTTTTTCTAAAGATTTAATGACTGAATGTCCAACTGACGAAAAATTAGTTAAGCATTGCGATTATTTAGTTGACAACTATATTTCTGAGGACAGGGTATTTAGTCCAACATTATGGTCTAGCAATTCGGCGAGCATACAGCTCACAACAAATGCGTGTGAATCATTTCTCTCGTATTTCAATAAAACTCATATTCTAACTGTCCACCAATCATAATCTAGTTAAATATTATGCTCAATGACATCCAGGCAGAAAGGTATATTAAAATGAATAGCGTTGAAATTCCCAAAAAGACAAAAGATAAAAAAACGAAGGAAACACAAGAATACAACCAAAAGACATATACTTCTAAAATATATATCCTGCAAAATTACTAGGTATGGCCGGTTTGTAAAAGCATGTGTAGAAATTTTAAAAAATAATGATTTTTGTAAAAGTATTTCGTGATGACTATACTTAATTTTAGTAAAAAATAATAATGTATTATTATTATATGCTTTTAATACTTTTTAAAAAAATAGTTTTTTGTAGACAATAGTTTTAGTTTAAATGTATTGTTGAGTATGTATTTGTTAAAAACTTATGCTATGACTTTTTATGAAAATTTTAGTAAACAATAATATAGTGTAAATTGTGTATAATGGTTTTTTTTTAAAAATAGTTAATAATAATATATTATTAAAAAATCATTGCCAACTTAATTTGAAAATGACTAAAATGGCATTAGTTGAAACGGCCGGTATCTGGGTGAAACGGGAAATTTTGATTTCGGGCGAAACCGGTACCGCCCTAATAGAGTACCTAAATTTATTTTGAAAACGATATAGGTACTACCTATTAGGTAGTAGGTACTTTATTGCAATGAGGTACCTTACTAAAATGTACTAATACGAAGGTATACCTATACTTCTATGAGTTATTTATTTTTTATTAAATGGCACAAAACACAAAATAGTAAGAACAAAAAAAAAAATATAAGGATATAACATATTTTATTATTTATAGTTTAATATATACTATTTATTAATAGATTTTATAAAATAAAAATAATACCTGGGAATCACCTACAAATAATAACATAATACAGCAAGATGTACTAGCATATTTGTAAGTTGGCGAAGAATGATACACCAAAACATGCTTAGTTAAACAATTATTTTTAAATATAACCTATATATATATTACAATACATTAAAAGTATAGATGCGAAACACATAAATATACATACATCGTGTGCACATTTACTCGCAAATAATAACTTATATTAGCTATAAACAAATAATAATAATAATAATAATGCACTTTCAAAGAGAATGTTAATTAATTATACAATTATAACGAATTATAAAGTATTCGACACTTAATAATACGAATACAGACTAACAATATTATTATTATTATTAAATTATAAACTGCATAATAAAAAAAATCGGTTTGCCCGGTTACGACGGTCGTCGTTAAAGAAAAAGATAATATGTAGATGACAAGACTTAATCGAATTATTAAAAAAAAACATTTGATGTGCTTTTAGAATAAAATATAATGCCCTTAAAAAAAACAATAGTGCTCCGGTTTGCTATAAAACAATCGAAATTCGTATGGTAATATTAACTCATTTTTGACGTGTCTTGGAAAACAATAATAATTTATTATATCATGAGTGAGTGCTTAGAAAATTACGTCATTACGATAAATTTTTTGTGCTGAGCCGGGCCCTGCAAGTGGTGTGGAGGGAACGAATCGACTAAAAATATTTTTAAAAATATAAAACAATAACTTGTGTGGTAATACAATAATAATAACATTACGACAATAGTCGCCAACGTCGTCGGATTTCCGGACGCATACTTGGAAGCCGATCAGAACAACAGCGGCTGAGGTCCGACCGCGTTATCGTTTCTGCCCTCGTGGTTCAATGCCAACACCTTATACACAACGTTCAAGTCCCCAGGGAGTCTGGGCACTGACAACCCGTAACCGAACGACTGCGGTTGTGGTTGCCTAAGGACTCGCTGTTGCTGCAGCTGCTGCAATGGCTGTTGCTGGGCGAACTGCGGCAGGAGAGCCAACGGACCGTCACCGAACTGCAGTCGCTGTTGTTGGACAAATCGGTTGGGTTGCTGCTGTCCCTGGACAGGTTGCAATTGCAGTTGCAGCTGCTGCTGTTGCTGTTGCTGTTGTTGCGGCTGGAAGACCACTGCCCTTTGTTGTTGCTGCTGTTGTCGCTGCCGTTGTTGTTGTTGTTGTTGTTGTTGTTGTTGCTGCTGCTGTTGTAGTTGTTGTTTTTGTTGTTGTTGTTGTTGTTGTAGTTGTTGTTGTTGCTGCTGCTGCTGCTGCTGCTGCTGCTTTTGCTGCTGCTGTTGTAGTTGTTGTTTTTGTTGTTGTTGTTGCTGTTGCAGTTGTCGTTGTTGGACGATCTGTTGCAGCTGTTGCTGTTCTTCGAGCACCGCCCTCTGTTGCAGTTGTTGTTGGAACCTCAGCTGTTGTTGTACGCCGAACGATTCTCGCTGCTGTAGTTCTTCTCGCGTTTGTACAGATTGCAACTGTTGCTTCGACAACTCGACGCTTTTCAGGAACTCCAGTTCGTTCCTGTCCGGTTCAACAGTGTTCCGGTCGCCACTGTCACCCGATTCCGCCCGGGTTTCCAGGGCCTGTATCTTCTGCCTTTCCAGCTGTCCCGGTTCCGTGAAAATGGGTATAATGCGCCTCGGAATGCCTGCCGAGTCCTGTTGCACTGTGAATGCCGTCAGTAGTGGTGCCTCGAAAAAGTCAACCTCGGTGCCAGTGTTTGTGGCCGGTGCTGTGGACGAGGCCGGCGTCGAGCGGAGCACATTGTTCGGCGCGTTATTGACGTCGTCGTTGACGATCAACTCAGGCTTGGTGGTCTCTGCTGAATCAGGAGTTAGCGGCAACAGTGTCGGCAACAGTGGAGGCAACAGCGCTACCGTCGAGGTGGGCAACGGTACCGCCTTGGGTGAGACTGAAGTGGGCGATGCGACTGTCGGGGTTGGCTGCAATGCTTCGGTGCGAGTGGTCAAAGCTACCGTCGAAGTGGGCAATGCTACTGTCGGCGCCTGTGACGGCGTAAAGACTTGCTGTTCTTGTTGCAGCTTTTCTGTTGGCTCTTGAACGTTGAGTTGCAATTGCAGTTGTGAGTTCTGTCGCTGTTGTGGGTCTTGTGATTGTAGTCTTTGCACTCCTTGATCCTGTGACTGTCCCAGTCTCTGATCTTGGTCCTGCGGCAGCTCCAATCTCTGCTCTTGGTCCTGTAACTTTCTATTCTGTTGTTCTTGTAACTGTATTTGCTGTTGGCCTAGTATTTGTATTTGCTGTTGATCTAGTAATCGTATTTGCTTGCGTTGATGTTGCTGCCTTTGTCTTTGTTGTTGCTGCTGCTGCTCCTGTTGCTGCTGCTGCTGCTGTTGTTGCTGTTGCTGTTGTTGGAATTGTTGTTGTTGTTGGAATTGTTGTTGATTTTGTTGGAATTGTTGTGATTCAACTTGTGCCAGTTTTACTTCAGTTACTCTATCTTCTTCTTCCAATCGGTTGAGTACTTTTAGCAAAGCTTTACGTAACTTTGGATCCAGTTTCACCGGCTTTTTGGCCAGGTCATTAATAGACTCTGCATCTAGAGAGCTAGGGATTCCCAATTGCTGTTGCTGATCTGCCCAACAAGAACCGGCGATTAAAAGAAGCACACAGAATGATGATACCTATAGACGGAACAAAATAAAGTTATTAGATACCCATTCACATGAAAAAACAATTTGACAAAAAAATATTTTGATTTCATGTACATAATAAGTTGTTGAAAAATATAATAAGATACCTTAGGTTTAGAAATGGACTCAGAAATAGTGACGAAGTCATTACATGAATTTAAAGAGAAAAGTATACCAGATGTAAAGAAATGTTTGATGATTAAAGAGATTTTGTTGCACGATTTTAAATTCTATGACTACCGATTTTTCAGAATCAATCTGCAAGCGTGAGAAAGCGAATTATTATTGACCAACGAACTCCGTTTATTTGGTCTGATAATAATGGAATAATATTGGAATCGGAAATATTGCAAAATTAATAATACATTTTAATAAAAATATGTAACGATGAAAAAAAAAAATCCTTATTCATAATTTTATTATAAAATAAGTAATAGGTGTATAACAAAAATGTAAGCTAAATATTTTTATTTACAATTAATGACAACTAATTGAAATACCAACAAAATCTTTATAGGTGGAATAGATAGATATAAATATATAAGTATAAGATATAATATAATTAAAATATACACTATAATTTATTTGTGAATTAAGAAATAGCCATACTTTTTATTTTGAGAATTTACTTATGAATATCGCACATTTGTATAATACTTCGCTAAAGACTTTAGACCTGTGATGATTTAATAGAGTTGATACTCTAATATCTAACTAAAGTAATTTTTCTTTAAAAAAAATCTACGGACTAATATAAATTATTTGAAGTTATTTCTAAAAATGTTCTTAATATTATTATTAAGTTTAAAAATATCTTAGGAAAGTTCTAATAATCTATTTAATAGGTAGGTACCTATTTTTTAAACACGCGTGTTACTACACAATTTTTTTCAATGAAAGTAAACATTAATGATTCATGAACACTTACAAGTACCTATAAAATAATATATGAATATAATAGTTTTAGAATGTGTATTGTAATTTATTTTTGTGGTATATGGATATAGGATATAAAGTTTTAGACAAATTACAATTTAAATGATTTAGTAGGGGCTTGAAACACATTTTCGTTACTATAGTTACTCGTATGTACCTATACATGCAGTATGCGTCTTGTATCGATACAGGAGAAGGTAGTAAGTAATACTTTTCATAACCTCAAGTACATAGTACATTGGTAATTACGTGTATTTTATGCACATCATTCAATATATTATTTTCACATTGCTTTCATTAGACTCACGATTAACGATTGCCGGTAGGTATGCAGTGTGTATAAATATTATATATAAACATTTGTAATACCTAAATCGTGTGTGAATCGTAAAAAAATCAAAACAAATAATGTTTTGTCGATTATTAATGGATAGAAACAAACAATTTAAGACTTATTAACTCATCGCTATGTCATATTTATATATTATATAGACCTATAATTTTACCATACACTTTATAAGGTGTTTACATAGGGATGCTACGAAAACGATTTCGAACAATATCATATAATTTTATTAAATATATGCGTATTCATGCATGTCGTTCAATACCTACCATTTGTATGAATTATAAGTAATGTACATCAAGGTTATAAAATTATTTTTACATCACGTGTATTTATTGGATATATGTACAATAGTACAGCTTGCAAATGTGGGCATTTTTTTTTTTTTTATAGCTTTTATTTAAATGTAGGCATTACGACTAGGTAAAAAGTTATTCCTCTTATAGAGCCAAATTACTTTTAAGCATTTAACTTAATTATAATTAGTTTATTTACTAATCAACTTTATAATTAATCTATAGATTTATAATGTTCCATTGTAAATTATGATAATACTTAGCTTTTTCAGCTAATTTGAAAAACAAATAGGTATTTAAGTAACTGTATAGGTACAAATCTATAACTTCAGTTCATACTCTAATTCAATTTTTTTTCATATTGATTTAATAGTATTATAAACAAAAACATATAATATCCTAAGCACTTCTACAGTGCGGTGCGCTGTAATAAGAAGGGTCACGATGAGTTTTTAACAAAATAGTTAGTTATAAAAAAAAAAAATGAAAGTTGCACTATCATGTTGTTTGACCTGGGTAATTTTTGAAAACAAAATAATTGAAAATATTTAACATTTTTTATTTGAGTAATTTATTAAGTACTAGTTGTATATTATAATATAATATTATTATTATACTTTATCCTTATTAACTTTAAACTTTTAGAGTTAAATACATTATTTGGTGTCTGTTAACTTTTGCAGAATTAATAGCCTGATAGTAGCTTCTTGACACATTATTTAATTCCGTGTGTCCCCCCAAAAATAGGATTCACTCTATATTTCTATAATTTAGTTACTTATATTACTCAGTATATTATTATACGTATTTTTTAATTCTATTTGCTGTGAGTCATGAAATTAGACTGTTTGAAAAACAGTTGCTGCAATAAATGTCTATAACTTACAATTTTTAACTCCTGTATTTTGCGTATGCTCAACAACAAAATTTATATTATATTTTCGAGTTAATACCATGTTTTGAAAAAAAATGTTTTTAAAAGTGTGTAGGTTATTTTGATAGCCGGTAAGTTGATGTAAGTAGGTTGTACGTAAATACCATTTTGAAAGATTTAATAAAAACTGTATGATATCATAACCGATGTCCTTCACTGAAATATACTACGTTACTATTGTATGAACCAATATCATTTTTCAGTAGTAGAAAAAAGTGAGACATTGCGGGACGCCTGGCAGATGTGAAACATTGAGATTATTTTGTATTGAAAATATGCACGAAAATTGAAATTACGATTTACTAGAATAAATAAACATGGCATAATCAAAAATAATAAATTTAAATTTTTTCGGAAAAATTAATCTTTATTGGCGCGTTAGATGTTTGAAAAACATAATGAAAAAAAAAATAAATTTTCACCTCTTCACGATACTTATATTTCGGTTCTTACAAAACTTAATCTGACGCTAGGCTTGACTCACCTGTGAAATATGTATTATTCAGTGCTGAACACGAGCGTTTATAATTTATAACTAATAACCATTTACCTATTTACAATTATATATTTTTTGGTCATTGGATCGCACAATATTCAAATATTTTCAACGAGACGTATTTACACTATAGTATATAAAGTAGGTATACTATTACATTTTGATCTGTGGTGGTATTTCCGCGACGTTAAGTGGTCCGCTAAAAAGAGTGGCCTGTCACGGAACAGTATAAAAATACACACACACGCACACACATAATAGATTATACGGATATATATAAAATAGCTGCAAAGACGTACCAAGCCAAGTCGTATTATTATCGTACAACATAATATAATATTATTATTATCATCATAGAGGAGCGCCCGGAGTCCTTTTCCCCACTTGACAGTCGTATCGTTGGTTTTATTTATTTATTTGTATGTCTCGAGAGGCGGCGCGTGGAGAAATCACCCATATGTGCGGTTGCCTATTATAACGTAGGTACACTCGCTCGTTTTGTTTACTCGACAGTCGTGTGCGAAATATCAAGTCATGAACTGTTGACCCGTCTGTGTACAGACATGACCTCTCCAAGAGGAGGCGGCGAAGGCAGAAAGCGTCGGAGTGAAAGCGTGTTCGGGTTGGGCTCGGTGTTCTCCGTCAAATTTGTTTTTTGTTTTTGATGCAACACGTCGTAACTCTGATTTATCATAATAGCAATAATAACACTAAATAATAATAGTAATAATAGTAAATAATACCATCGGACGCGTCCGATGCGGGTGGCGAAATCGTAACGAAATTTTTTTTTACTCTTTAATTCGGTATATTTTATCTATGAATCCGTTTTGCGGTCGACGCCTAAATATACGTCGTGTACTTACCGCTTTACAATGCGATCTTGTGCACGCGGTCGAGAAAAACGTGTAGAAGCTATTTTTTTTTTTATAATACAAGTCTGTCGAGGGGAAGAGTCCGTTGCAATATTATTATAACAACACGCGGGCACGAAGTCGATGTTTGTGCTCAATACTACAATAGTATAATATTATAACGTATTATACCTATACAGGTATAATTGTGCGATGATCTGTACATCGAGGTGGCCGAAGAACGTGTCCGAATAAGGTAATATTTTTAACCTATGAGCCTATATTATGCAGGTCAATACCGTACCTATACTGCGTGTCTGCGGCGTTTAGCATAAAGTGTTATTATGATCGAACGTTGACATAATAAGTGCAATCGCATAAAACGAGAAAAGGGATATAAATAATATTGTATAAAAACGTCTACGGGCTCCCGGAGTATATTACCTCCAGATATTGACTTAAGAATTGTATATTTGTATCGTTTAAAAGTTCAATTTTAATCAATATTCAATACATATTTTATTATAAGTTTAGTTTATTAATATTGTTTGAACAATTGCGTATTATTTACTGAAAAAGATTTATGATACTAGATAATAAATTATAAAAAATGATGTAGGTTATTACGTGTACTTACACATACCTACACATTCACACATGATAAAATATCATAATAATATACCAATATGATTTTTTATTTATATATTACTTTTATAATTCCATAAACTTACTTATTTACATTAAATGTATACAATTATATTATAATTTATATAATAATGGCACAAATCATATTTGATATATTATTATTATGGGTAGGTATAATTTTATAATGTCATTCCTGTCACACTAATTTTGGTGCAAATGATGTATTTTTTGTTTGTAAAAAACACGCTTATTCTATACAGCCATTATGGAGAATGTGATACTAGTTCCCATAAACATTTAATTGGATCCCGGAAATGTTTCTATAAAGCTTCTATACATTTCCAACATAATTTGGAAAATTTATGGAAAAGCACAGAAGCATAGCAGCCTCAAATATTTTGTAAATAAACTATAATACGGACAAAAGAAGTTTCCATCAACATTTAATTTTGTGAAGTATGTTTAATTAAAATCGAAACTATAC